AAATCATGAGGTTCTGACCATTTCAATTGTCATCGCATGAGCTCCCTAACATGAGCATTCAATATGGATGAGGATCCTCTCCGAATTTTCTTTGTGGATCTCTAATCGTTCATCATACATCGTACGGTCAGTTTTTGTTAGGTACTATTTGTGTTTAATTTTAAATAAAAATATTCAAATAATTTATGACCATACGATGTACGATAAATGACTAAGATATGCAGATCCCTAGGATCCTCACCATTTGAATCTGGATGATATCCAAATCCATTCAATATGACTCAGTCCAACGTTAATAGATTGGTATACGGTAGGTTTTGCGTTTAGGTCATGAAATATATATATATATATATATATATATATATATATATATATATATATATATATATATAGGAATAAGATCGATGGACAAATATTTTTACACTTCTCTTTAGCCATTAGATTTCATAACATCCAAAGATCTTGATTAAGAGTAATGTGAAGGCTTTTCAACATTAAAGGACGCGGATTATAATTAATATTATCTAAAACTACATTAATGATTGTCAATCAAAAGATGATGAAAAGACATATTTGTCTTCTAACATAATAAAAAAGTTAAGGACAGTAACGTAATTTCACAAAATAAAATTTTGCTTTTTTTTAATCTCACCTACATGTAATTTTATCATCTCTAATTAAAAAAAAAATTAAAAAAACCTCTCTTCTCTCTCCATCTCTCCTCACTCCCATATTCTCTCTCACTCTCTTCCTCTCTCCTTTAGTTTTAAGTTTTAACAACCAAAGTAAAAAAATTCACAAACTTTGTGTATGGGCATATACTATAAATAATAAATAAAACTAAACATAATAAAAACTGGAAAAAAAAAAAAAAAAAAAAAAAAAAAAACAAGAACCGTAAGGGATCGAATTTCAAAGTTAGGGGGAGGGTAAAAGACCTCAATTGCTCTGCCGCAGATGGATGTTCTCGTGGTCTTTTATTTTTTTCTGATCTTTGGTAAAAAAAAGCTTCCTGATCTCTTTACTCTAGAAACCCATGTGTTATTACGATTTACCGGGAGATATGTTTACCACTAGTTCAGATTGTTATCACGCTTGGCCAATGAGGGATTCCACAATCTAATTTACCACTCAAAGATACCAAGAATGAAGAATTAGGATTTCGGGTTTAGTTTTGTTTACCAAACAAAATGATCCAAAAGATTAAGTGATAGTTTGATACGATTTGTGTGTTTCTTAATTTTGTATCAATCAAATCAAATCAACATGTAGCGAAGGCAATGAATTTTCTCTCCTCCTTCTTACGTTCTTGGCCAGTCCCTATTCCTTGATTTCAACGTTGTTTTGATTTTTTTTTTCTTTTGAGTTTTTTTCTATTAGTTGATTCTTATTCATTTAATATAATTGTTTATTTATTAATTATAATCCATGCACGTCATCATCCATGTAACTTAAGGTTTAAAATTTTTGACATTACTCTTAATCAAGACTATTGAATATTATAAATCTAATGGCTAAGAAGTGGTGTAAAAATATTTATCAAAACATTACACTCCTTCTTAGCCATTAGATTTAATATGAATTTTTATCAAAAATAATTTTTTATATTTTGACAAGTCATCACTTAGGTCATTTATGCTCCGAACTCATCAATTCCATCATTCATCTTTGGAGAAGCACATCATTTTCGTCTTTGCTGTTAGATTACGTTAAAAATTATGTTAATTTGCTTACCTAGCACATACATGAAAACCCCATAACCAGTTACAATAAGCCACATGTGTTATATAAAATATTAATTTTTAAAAGTGATTTAAATTTTTGAAAAACAATTAAGAAAAAAGGAAATAAAATAATATAAAAAAACCCCAGCGGCCAGCCATCTTCCCCACCCCTCATCTCTTTCACTTCGGCTCTGCTATCTCCTTCTCTTCGAATGAAGGGTCAATCCAATTTGGACTTTGATATTAAAATTTGAAAAAATGAAAATAATGAGATTTAAACAAACTTAAATGAAAAAAATACTAGCCGCTGGCCTTTGGTTGTTTATTATAAGATTTAAACAAATTGGAAGACAGTAGGGAAGGAGATAACAGAGAGGAAGTGAAAATAGATGAGGAAATTGGCTGGCCACGGGGCCTTGGTTTTTTATTTCACTTTTCTTTAATTGGCTTTTCAAAATTTAAAAACCTATTCAAAATTAATTTTTCACACAATACACATGGTGTAATGTGATTGATTATCGGGGTCCCATATATATATGTCACGTAAGCAAGGTAATATAATTTGGGATCATTTTGGTTCTTGGTTCCTAATCAACTTAATTGTTAGACTAATTTTGGTTCCCGGTTCCTGATCAACTTAATTGTTAGACTAAAATCTTATTTGTTTAAATATTTTGATCGAGGTCCTTAGATCAATTAAAATATTTAATGTCGCATCCCGGCTCGGGAGGGACCACTTCCCAGACTCGACTCCACCGTAACATGATATTGTCCGCTTTGGGCCCCGACCACACCCTCACGGTTTTGTTTTTGGGAACTCAAACGAGAACTTCCCGATGGGTCGCCCATCCTGGAAGTGCTCCCGCGCGCTACTCGCTTAACTTCGGAGTTCCCATGGAACTCGAAGCCAGTGAGCTCCCAAAAGGCCTCATGCTAGGTAAGGATGGGAATATACATTTAAGGATCACACCCCTAGGTGATGTGGGATGTCACAATCCAGCCCCCTTAGGGGCCCGACGTCCTCGTCGACACACCACGGCCAGGGTTAGGCTCTGATACCAATTGTCGCATCCCGGCCCGGGAGGGACCACTTCCCTGACCTGACTCTACCGTAGCACGATATTGTCCGCTTTGGGCCCTGACCACGCCCTCACGGTTTTTTTTTTGGGAACTCACACGAGAGCTTCCCGATGGGTCACCCATCCTGGAAGTGGTCTCGCGCGCTACTCGCTTAACTTCAGAGTTCCCATGGAACCCGAAGCCAGTGAGCTCCCAAAAGGCCTCGTGCTAGGTAAGGATGAGAATATACATTTAAGGATCACACCCCTGGGTGGGAGGGATCACCTCCCGGGCCCGACTCCACCGTAGCACAATATTGTCCGCTTTGGGCCCCGACTACGCCCTCACGGTTTTGTTTTTGGGAACTCACACCAGAACTTCCCGATGGGTCACCCATCTTGGAAGTGCTCTTGCGCACTACTCACTTAACTTCGAAGTTCCCATAGAACCCGAAGCCAGTGAGCTCCCAAAAGGCCTCGTGCTAGGTAATGATGAGAATACACATTTAAGGATCACACCCCTGGGTGATGTGGGATGTCACAATCCACCCCCCTTAGGGGCCCGACGTCCTCGTCGGCACACCACGGCCAGGGTTAGGCTCTGATACCAAATTGTCACATCCCCGCCCGGGGCGGATCATTTTCCGAGCCCACTCCACCACCGTAGCACGATGTTGTACGCTTTGGGCTTACCATTCCCTCACGGGTTTTTGTTTTTGGGAACTCACGAGCAACTTCCCAGTGGGTCACCCATCATGGGATTACTCTAGCCCCCTTCTCACTTAACTTCGGAGTTCCTACGGAACCCGAAGCCAGTGAGCTCCCAAAAGACCTCGTGTTAGGTAAGGATGAGAATGTACATTTAAGGATCACCCCTGGGTGATGTGGGATGTCACATTTAACTCATGCATTTGTGCATTTAATTTCTCCGAAATTATGTATGAAATTTAAACAAATTCAAATAATATTTTTAAAATATAATAAATACTTAAAATTAAATAATAGAGAAATATTGTTCTTCATAAAATTATAGCAAAAAAATAATGTACCCACATAATTATTAACATATTTTAAAAAATAACTACTGATATAGTTTAAAACATAAAATAAATACATATAATTAGCATGGGTACATTTAGTAAATTAAAAATGGGTACAAATAAATTAAAAAATACGGGTACAAATACAAATAATTTTAAAAAAAATATGGGCACTAAAAAGAAATTAATATATGGGTACAAATTAAAACTGAAAAGAAAATTCATACAAATTAAAAAAGGTTGCAAATTAAAAATGGGAACAAACTAAAAATAAAAATATATGATAAAAAAATTTAGCCATAAATATAAATATATCAAATGTAACATTTCTAAAACTAAATTAATATATTTAGAAATAAAAAATATTTTATTATTAAAATAATTAATGACGTTTATTAAAACCTAAGGATCTTAATCAAAAATTGATAGGAATAAGGTTTTTAATCAATGGAATAGCAAAAAGAATGATGATAACCTAATTTCTCCTGTAATTTTTAACAAAATCTGACGGCAAAGACAAAATTGATATGTTTTCTCAAACATAAATGACGAAATTGATGAGTTTAAAACATAAATGACCAAACTGATGACTTGTCAAAACTTAAAAAACCATTTGTGATAAAAGCCCTACATATAATTATATATATGGTCCTATGGAGAGGAGAGGAGGGGCATATTTCATTATGGTATAATTTGGCAAAATATATATATTTCAATTTAAAAGCAAATTAAATATTTGTTATGGTTGACATAGAAACATGAAACACTAGGATGATCCTGTAATTGCGACAACACAGATCGGCACAACACATGAGACTAAGTTTTACCCAAAGGCACATTAATGAAGGAAAAGTGATTTTTGCGCTCGCAATTTTATCTTCTACCCCTCCTAGTTTACTTATGGTCTTAAATGAGAATTAAGTGAAAAAAAAAAAAATAATAATAAACATGAGGGTGCAAAAATCATTTCCCTTAACGAAGGATATACCGGCCGGAGTACCTAAAGATACTGCAAAACCAAAGAAATGAGCTCATTTCCAATGGGGTGGAATGTGGACTCTTGCAACCCACCTGGAGATGAAGCCCCAGTTTGGGGTTGAGGTGCTTTTTAAAAAAGCTACCATGAAAAAAAGCTGGTAAGGATTTTGATGTTTGGTAAACATCCCAAAACAGCTTAATTTCAAAGTTTTACATGAAAAAAAGCCAAAAAGTGGAAGCTGCATTTTGCAGCTTCCAAGAAGCCGCTTATTTTTCCAAAACGCGGAGCTACAGTACCCCATTAATGAATTTTTTCAATTTACCAAAACTGCCCCCTCCTTTCTCCTTTCTCCTTCTCCCGATCCTACACTGCACTTTCCTCTGGAATTGAACGTTCACCAAATGAGGCTGCGCACCGTCGGATCTGCAAACCAAGAACAAACAAACAAAATTAAAGTTCAAAGATTTCAAATTTTTTAGGGATTAAAAAAGGGAAAGGGGAATTGAAGCAAAGACTGCCAGTAGGTGTCGAGATTGTCGTCACGGAGAGACGAAACGCCATTGCCGGCCTTGCAGGAGCTGACGCTCCAAGCAGCCTTCTTGCCCATTTCTCTGAGATCGTCGTCGACTACCAGCAGCTGGTTCCCTCCCGTCAGCTTCGCATCCTCTTCTCCCTCCGATGACTCCGTCGCCATTGCCTCCTCTTCTATGATTGATTCTTTGAACATGAATTAGAAGAAAAAGAACCGTAATTTGATCGAGTTCCTAAAACCCAAAAAAGCCTAGCTGGATAGCAGAAACCAATCAAATCAAAACCCTAAATCCAAAATCTGCAAAAGTGAAGCGATTGCCTCGGTGAGGAATTTGAATTGTGGCTTCCGTGGCCTTTCAGGGGTATGAATGAAAAAAAAGGAGAAGTTTACAGTATTGTACTAATGAATTCTAACTATTCAGTTTAAAATATTTCAATTGAAGTAGTTTGTCATACTAATTAATATTTAAGATAAAGTTTATAAATATGTTTCTTTTACAAATAAAGTATATTTAGTAATTCACCTTTATTGGTTAAGAAAATTAAATTAATGACACATCTAGTATTATACCCTTTTTGGTCATTTTACACAGTCACAGCTGTTTTACATAAAAGTTTACCAAACACTATCATACTGCTTTTTTTTCCAAAGGCACTTTCACAAAAAAGTTTACCAAACACTCTGCTGGCTTTTTTTCACAGCCGCTTTTTTTCACAGCACAACAGAAGCAGCTTTTTTTCAAAGCACAACAATACCAAACCAGCCCGAAGTGGACTCTCTCTACAAACCATTCAGCTAAGTAATGGGCCAGTTTGTTCATCCTTTTTCCAGGGATTTCCTTGTGCACTCAAGGATTTGATCATTACCCTCAATTCCCAAAATTTGTATTCTTCTTAAATTTTGAAATTTCCCTTAAATGTGCTTCGTCCGTTAATTGAAAAAATCGAAGGAAGAGAAAGAAATTGACCGGTGGCTGGAATGTTCTGCTCCCCGCCTTATAATGCTCTCGTCAATTGTCACTCCGAGAGCATCCGATTTGTTCTGTTTATTTTGCAACAACGGACAAGGAAGGTTAGAGGAGGAGTTGGGCAAATGCCCACCACCTCTAGAGCAACAAGTCGTATATCGAGTTGTAGATACAGTAAACAATTGGGTGCATTTAGAAGATCGTTTAGTGGGTGTCCAATATGTCCAAGCCCCTTCATATCTTTTGTCATTTTGGGCATGTTGGATTGTTAGGTATGAAGTTTAAGGCTTTGTGCATTTGCAAAATTGGGAAGGGAATTTGCGGGGGTTGTTTATGTCATTTGATTGAAATTAGACGGGTGATATTATAAGCAAAGTGCGGGCACACGATATACACAGAATGTCTCTAACGATGTGAATGGCTAGTAAAAAAATAAAATAAAATAAAATAAAATCTCGCTTGCAAAATAAGAAAAACAAAACTCTTAACAATTTTTTTTTTGAAGAAGTGTGATGCACATCTTAACGACAATAGATCCTACTTGTGCTTTGTAAATAGTTTTTACGAATTTAGATAATAGAAATAAGTGAGACACGACTTGAGTTTTGAGAAATTAAGTACAAAATTTGATTTTTCAAAGTTTAAAAATATTGCCGTAAACAAGCATAACCTTCTTAATTATACCCAAATAGATCATTTAATTCGTTATCAAAATCGAACCGTGCCTAACCCTAGATGTCTAAAAGGATGCTTGAATTTCAACCCTTAATCATTGGGGGAAAGAGATCTCTCCCGTCAAAGTTCAGGGATCAAGTGATCCGGATTTTAAACATTTTGATCTAACAGTTAAAAATAAAAAAGTTAGTAAAATCTTTTAAAAGATATAATAATTATTAACTATTAGATCAAATTTTAAAGTTCGGATGACTTGATGAATGAGTTTCGAAGAAAGAGAACCTTTCCGAATTCCAATCATCATCAATGACAATGAGGGTTCGTAGCGTTAGTAATTTTTTTTTTTTTTTTTTTTTTTTTTTTTTTTTTGAAACACAAATAGCGTTAGTAATTTAATAGCCAATTCTAATACAAATTTCTAACTTTAGGACCAAAACGGATAGTTCTGTGAGCACAACCAAGACCGGCAGCGAACCCGAAGATACGAGCTTTGGCACCTTGAGTGTTCGAGAGACAAGAACCAAATCATGACCTTTTCTATTGTTGCTTCTCTTCTAATTTTTGTTTGACAATTCTCACAAACGCAACAACAGCAGCAAAAACAGAAGCGTTTTTGGCATCAGTTTCTTTTGTTTTGGCAACCATCTCAATTCTCAACCCAGAAACAATGGCGGCATCGTTGATACTCTCCCGAAGAATTTCATCTGTGGGCGTTTCTCGCACTCTCCAGGGTATGTTCTTCCAAACCCACCTTTGTTTTGCAGGAATATGTTGTTATTTTTTGTTTCAGTTTGTTGGTTTTGCACATATAAGGTGTTTGGCTGCTGAGAAAATGGTGGGGGAAAAGGCAAGCTATTGTTGTTTTCTCTTGTTTTCTATGGTTTTGAAATGTTCTTCTTTTAGGATAAATGAAAGTTAAGAAATTTGATTGTAGTGGGATTAAATTGACCACAAGTATTGAACTTTGCATTCAGCATTCAATCTGAATTGAGATATGTTAGCCTAGAAGAAGGTTCTAATTTTAAACGTTATGGTTCATTCGAGTAATTTGAGAAATTTCTAACCCCTGCGTTCATGAGGCTAATGAAACCATTTGACTTGGTGATCTGATCATGTTAATTGTACCAATAATATACTTTCATAGTTTGCAATAGGAGGGATACATCATTTACCATTTGTAGTTTGTTTCACATGTCAATACTTCCAAATGTTTTGAATTTACTGCGAAAATTGGAACATTTATATGTATCCCCATTCTCCAATTCTCGTGTGGGTTACGTACTGGAAACTTAAGCAGTTTTGCTTTACCAACTTTGTTAAGCAACGAGGGAAAGTGAAACGTTAAAATCAAGTTCAATCGTATGGCTTATACTAATAGGTTCAGATATTGCTTTTAAGTCTGATTTTATCTTTTTACCATTGATAGAGGTGTGTGCAATCCTTGTTTGGATTGAGAGAAATGAGGTCAGAACCTCACTTTCTCATTTTCCATACTTCTATTTCTCTCCAAAAGAGTGGGGAGAGTTGAAGTGAAAGAGAGATAGCTGTTAAAATGTTCGTGATCCAAATTTTTCAATGTCGGTAGCTGTTATAGCCAACATGATTTTACAATAGTATCTGTACAGAATATTATGACTTCTTGGTATTTGCTTATTTTAGCTAAAGTTCTGGATGGACTTATTTTTGAGTCAATCATCTGACGGTCACAGCAACTAATTTGATGTTTCATGTTGTTTCTTATTGTTCCAATTCCACAGGTCTAGCAGGTAATGTGCGGCCCTCTTGTCTGCACTTGGAATTGAAGGTCGCGGCTTTGATTAATGTTGTTGATAAAACAAAACAGTATAGCAGCTCCAGTGGTACAACGCAGTTTGATTTTACTGACCTGACGTAAGAAATTTGTTCCCACAACTATTGAAGATTGAAACTAGTTTTTCCTTGGATATGCAATTGTAAATTATGTAAGACTTTTAAGAATCAAAGTATAACTACCAATTTCCAATTCTCTTGTGTAGTGTTCTATTCTTCTAGATGAGTTGCTCTTTTTTCTATTTCTTGTGTTTTCACCTTAGAAATATTTTTCTTTTAGATTTTGTTGGTTAATTTGGCTACTTTAAAATGTCATTGTTTAATAATGTAGTTTGTAGTATGCGGGATGAAAATTTTGGGACTTTATATAATGTGAGTTCGCAACTTTTAGTGGATCTCTGTAATTTTGGGTCCGTCATTTTGTACATTATGCGGATATATGGAGGCAATGCTTGAGTTTACATACAGCTGTAGCTCAAAGCTTAGAATTTAGGATCCAACGATGAATCAATTTCCCCTTTGTATTCTATTTTTATTGTTAAATTTACTTTCATGCATATCTAACATCCTTTAGTTTTATCCTTGTAATTGAATATGGTCATATTCCAGTTCTCCTCATACTTGGTATCCAAAAGCTCGAAGTAAGCAGCGCAAGGTTATCCTGCACATGGGTCCCACAAATAGTGGTAAGACGTACAATGCTCTGAAGCGACTAGAATCAAGTCCATCTGGTATGTTGTGAGTGCTAAACTTGCAGTGTATTGATTATATAGTTTACCTAGTTATTAATTGAAAACTGCTATAATAATGCAAACACACCCGTGAACATAGTTCGGTCTTTTTCCTTCCCTACAGGAATATACTGTGGTCCTCTGAGATTGTTGGCTTGGGAGGTTGCAAAACGGTTGAACAAGGCAAAAGTTCCTTGTGATCTTATTACAGGACAAGAGAGAGACGAGGTTGATGGTGCAAAACACAAGGCTGTGACAGTTGAAATGGCTGATGTAACTTCCAGCTACCATTGTGCTGTTGTTGATGAGATTCAGGCAAGTTGGTTTTATTTATGTGGACTCTAGGGATTTGCTTCCTACCATATATCAGAATGATTTTAAAGATCAGTTTGTGTTGTTCAATTTGAGATTGTCATGTTTGGTGGAAAACTGAAAATGCATAATTATTGAGGTATAAGGACTAGTGAAAAATACTATTGGCCTGAACATAGCAAAATACTACCATCTAATAGAGGTCTGTGTTGATATAGCTGATTTTTCTTATGGTTGCAAGTCAACATGCATTCTGCCACATAGCGAAATACTATGGTCCTGAACATTGCTTTATGTATTTTAATAAGTTAATGTTCCTTCTTTTGGACCAGATGTTGAGTTGTAAGACAAGGGGCTTTTCCTTCACACGAGCTCTATTAGGAATATCTGCCGATGAACTTCACCTTTGTGGAGATCCAGCTTCTGTTCCTCTTATTCAGGAAATATTAAAAGTGACCGGTGATCATGTTGAGGTAATAGGATATTTTTGCAGCTAGATTGGTTCAAGGTTTTTCTTGTTTAGTAATTTAGTTATTGCTAAGGATGCTAAATAATTCTCTGTTACTGAATTTTTTTCTTTGTGCATGGAGTTTATACATTTGAACTATTAATTAAGTTTTAGGCATTTAGTATTTACTGATCCCAAATGGTATCCATATGTAAGTTCATTTCACTTTGATTCAGTAATATATCAGTAATACATCTACTGTATTTACTGATCCCAAATATTATTTATTCTGGATTCTGGTTTCCGCTTTTAAAATTCGGTTGTATGCATAAGAGTAAGGGAACAAAAGAATCTGAATGTTATTCTGAGAAATTTGAGAATGTCTACATATTTTCCTTAGATTATTCAACAAAGTATAGGGTGAACATAACTAATTTATCTGAAATTTTCATGTTTTGACTTTAGAATGATATTGTATTGGTTAAGTGCTTTTATGAGTCTTATGCGTTCAGTATTGCTATGCCGATCTGCTTTTTGTGTCTCATGTTATTCTCCTTGTTCCTCATAGTATTCTTGTTTTTGGCTTTGCTTTAGGTTCACTTCTATGGGAGACTTTCACCTCTTGTTCCAATGAAGGTTCCTCTCGGCTCTTTTTCTAACATAAGGACAGGCGACTGCATTGTAACCTTTTCACGCCATAAAATATACAAATTAAAGGTAGTGATTGGCAGTTTCTTGTATTTGTTTTGGTATTCCATGAAATATATAGGTGCATGTGTGTGCGGTTTATGTTTATCAAGATATCTTTTCAACATTTTTCCCAGAGGTTCATTTTCTTACGGTATGAATATGGTATGAGCTTTTAAACTTTCTAGGTATGCTTCATGCATAGCTATATTTAGGTAGATAAGAAGAGTTTCTAGAACTTAGATCAGATATAACATAAGATCTTTGCTGGAGGGGGGAAAAAGTTGTAACATCCAAGTTTCTAACAGGCTGGGTTAACCTAAAGGATAGATTTTGTAAGACAATTGACTGGATATATTTGTACGAGACGCATGGCTTATGTTTGTTGGTTGGATGAGAAAAATTGATCTCAGAATAAGCTTTTCTGAATCTTGATAGTGAGAAGATTCACTATTTTGAGGTACATGGGAGATGGGGCTGGGAAGAGAGACACTTGAAAGAAATTGGGACTTAAAGGACAATCTTGAGTTCAAAATGGTCATTGGTTGATGAAGCACCATTCTATTCTCAAGAGTGTCAACCCGAGAGTCTGAACAGATCACACGTCCCTGATGTATTAACATTCAATTTTATTTCTACTCTTGCAGAAAGGAAATCATTTTGATGTTTTAGTTCTGATGCTGTTTCAACTTCTGTTGACCATATTATTTTGTACTAACTTCTCAAAGTGATTTTGTATCGCCTATTGTATTGCTAGAAAGAAATTGAAACTGTGGGAAAGCATCTTTGTTCGGTTGTTTATGGTTCGCTTCCACCGGAGACTCGAACGAGACAGGTATTAGTTCCTTCCTGTGTATTTAAAGCTCATCTTGCCATGCTGCAATTGGTTTTCCTTTAGTCAGAAGTTTTTTTACTGTCATGTGTGAAAAAAGTAAAATGCAGATTTCTACTGAGTTGTGGATTTGTGGTCATGATTATTGATTTATAGTTTCAACCTTTTGTGATCACCACATTTTCTGAGTTAATACACCCTTTAGGACTGCAGGCAACCATGTTTAATGATGCAAGCAGCGAGTTTGATGTTCTCGTGGCTAGTGATGCCATCGGGATGGGTCTTAATCTGAACATTTCACGGATCATATTCTCAACAATGATGAAATTTGATGGTTTTGAGATGCGGGAGCTCACTGTACCAGAGGTCAAACAAATTGCAGGTACTCTTTTCTTTGGCTAAGTTATGCTGCATATACGTTAGACTTCTAAGTATATAGCTGATATTCGAATTTTACCCTAATGCTAGTGCAAGGAGCCTATTTGCAAGTAGACCGTCATTAAAAGAGATAATGGAGCTTGAGTGCTATTTTGCTCTATCCTTACCTTTTTAAGTCAACTCATGAGATCTGGGCATCATTCATTTCCCCTGCATTTAAGAATCCCTGATTTGCTCGAACACCTTACTGTCTCTCTCTTAGCTATCGCCAGAAATATTTCATAAATGGGAGGATAACTTGGCCTAATAATAAGAACTAAAATTATAGCTTTCCATTTCATTGAGGTGTATCTGTAGTTCATAAAGTTGCTGTTGTGTGTTATGCCGTAAACTTTGTAATGTGCACTAACTTATAGTTATTTGGCGCAAATGGTAACTTGTTATTCTCTTACCTTGAAATGATGGATTCCGTATATAAGGACGGACATGGTTTTTATTGCAGGAAGAGCCGGCAGGTATGGATCAAAATTTCCTGTTGGTGAAGTGACTTGTTTAAATGCAGATGATTTGTCCTTGCTTCATTCATCGCTAGAATCCCCATCTCCGACTCTTGAGGTGATTATACTATAATGAAAATGTTCATTGCATCCACTTCTAGATGTCAGTTTGTGGTTAAGTATGGTGTTACTTGTCTTCTAATTGGGTGCTGTTGTTATACTGCAGAGTGCTGGATTATTTCCTACCTTTGATCTTATGTATATGTATTCACGTTTACACCCAGAATGCGGCCTCTACCAAATTCTGGTTGGTTTCATTTGATCATTTCTATATTGCTGTATGTTCTATCTTTAAATGCTTGCATACAACCAACGGGGGCTCAGTGGCCATGGGTGAGGCACAAGGGAAATTATAGAGCTATTATGTGATTAAATTTCAGTTGTGCTTCACACCGATAGCAATTTGGTTCTGGCTGCTCGTTGAACCCAAAGATATAGATGATTTCAGAATAGTGCGGTCTATCTAAGTGGATCTGAACTTTTTAGGTGATACATTTCGAGTTGAATCCAAAACTGCTCATTTTGTGTTTGCTATGAGTCTATGACAACTTCAACCAAAACTAAAATTATCATCTAATGAAGAATTAATTTGATATTTTGACGGTCTATTTAACTGAATTTTAATCCTCTTGTTATATATATATATATTTACATATCATTTTCTTCTCCTACTTGTTGACAGGAACATTTTTTAGAGCATGCCAAATTATCAGACAATTATTTTATTGCTGACTGTGAAGAAGTATTGGTATGCCTGTCAACCTCAATGCTATATTTCTTCTTGAAAATCACGTACGACAACTGAGTTTGGTAATTTTTTTTTCTCCCTCTGTTGCTTCCACCTTCACTTTGATCAGAAAGTTGCTGCTGTTATTGATGCATTGCCTCTTGGGTTGCATGATAAGTACCTTTTCTGCATAAGGTAAAAACTTCTGCCCGAGTTTGCCTTTGTAAAATTTAGTTCGCCATGCATGGTTGGTAGATTTCTGTACCTTTCTCGAATTCAGATTTATTCATCATTGTGATTTGCAGCCCAGTTGACATGGATGACGAAATTTCATCCCAGGGTCTTACGCAGGTAACATTGTAATACTGTTCATGAGTGTTGTGAATTGTTTGTTCTTTATCAGAAATCATGATAACCATTCTGTCCTTTTATAGTTTGCACAAAATTATGCACAAAAGGGCATTGTTCGGCTCCGGGAAATATTCACGCCAGGATCACTTAAGGTACCAAAAACGGAAGCTGCACTCAAGGAGCTTGAATCCATTCACAAGGTAATATAGTTTGTTTGGATTGCCAATTTTGTGAGACAAATGGGGTTTTAATTTCCAAATTTCACCAGTGGAATGTTCACCCCCAGTCGATGGAAATTACTAAATTGTAGCCTGTAAGATTCAGATGTGGTAATCATTTTAATTCTCACTTTACCTGAAGGTATCCTCGTATGTACTATTTGTTCAATAGTAAGACTATGAACCAAAAGATCTAAGTTTTCTGTGAGGTGAGCTTCTGATAAGTTTTCTGTTGGTGCCAAAATTGAAGGTTTTGGATTTATACGTTTGGTTGAGTTTCCGATTGGAGGAATCATTTCCTGACCGCGAGCTTGCATCTACACAGAAGTCCATCTGCAGCATGTGAGTTCACTTGTAACTGGCATTGGTTTTTCGGTCTTCAATTGCTTGGGATCTCTAATTTGTTATACTTCGAAATTGTAGGTTGATCGAAGACTTTCTGGAGAGGTTAGGATGGCAGAAGCCGAGAAGCAAGAGATTAGCCTCACGTACTCCCTCAACTTTACTATTGTCCCGGAAAGCCAGACCGTACTTGTGAGATTTATTGTCTTTAAGCGTGTCCATTCCTTCTCGTCGGTGGTCAGTTGAACCATTCATGTGTCTTCTCACACAAATCACTAAGCTCCAATCTTTGAAGAAAAGTTCACTACTTTTTAATTTTTAACAGCCTGAAAAGCAGTTTAATTTTGTAATTATGTAGCAAAGGTAATAAAATCATTGGATTATTCAAATCATTAGATTATTCTTGTTATGTAGCCAAACATGGATGACAGTAATGGCAATTAAATTGATGGATACAAGTTCACAGCGGATCTCTCTCCAATTTTATATTCTTTTTTTTCTTTCAATTTTATGGGGAAATCACAAGGAAATTCTCACCAAACACGGTTTGAAGATTAATTGAGTAGAAAATCACAAGACAAACTTTGCACAACAAAATGCTCGAAATTGCTTACTCTAAATAAATACATCTCTGTTAGCCCTAAGCTCTAAACAAATAAATACATCTCTGTTAGCCCTAAGCTCTAAACAAAGTCTGAATACATTGTCTTTTAAGTGGCTCAGATCAACCTGTTAAGTTCGCTTAAATTCTTAAGGGCACGTCCGGGCCATTAAATTGCTTACATCACACAAACACATGGCCCTTGTGCATACTCTCTTCAACATTAGACATTGCGGAATCGTTGCCTATTATCTCTTGCCCTCTTGCCTGCAACATCAACCTCTCAATATGTTTCTTCTCTTTCTGCATACTCTTCCCCTCCAATTCCTTTATCAACATACTGTATGTGCTATCCTTCGGAGCAAAACCCTTCAATACCATCTCCTCAAAGAAGGAGCAAGCGGTTGCAAGTTTACCGTTCATACACAGCCCGCGTACCAAGAGTGCATAAGTTCCACCTTCAATGCCAATGTCGTTCTTAAACATGTGATCTAACAAAAAGCAAAGCACCCTCATCCTTTTCTTTCTGCAGAATAACTTCAACAGCGGAGCATAGGTCTTGAGATCCGGCTTGCACGAATCCTCCTCCATTTTCTTGAGCCATTTGAGAGCAACCTCTTCCTGTGAATGCGTAGACGCTATATTAATCAAGGTATTATATGCCAAAACGTCCAGCTTTATCCCTTGCTTTTCCATGTCCTCAACTATTTCCTGAACATCCTTGAGCCTACCGGCTTTACCAAGGAGGAAAATCAACGAGCTATAAAATGAAGTATCTGGAATACAACCACTCATTTTCATCTTCCCGTAAATCTCCAAAGCTTTAGTTATCTCCCTTGCCTTCCCTAAAGCATGCATTATGATGGTATAAGTCACGGCATTTGGCTCACAACCCTTGTCCTTCATCTCGCCAAGAACTTCGGCAACTTTGCGAAAATCCTTGTCGTTACAATAAGCTTCAATCAAAGAGGTATACGAGAAAACATCGGGTTTAAACTTGTGCTTCTCCATCTCCTCCATTGTCTTCCTAGCAATGTCCAAGTTCCTGTATTTGCACCACCCATGTATCAAAACATTGAAAGTACTAACATTCAAAGGTATAGATTCCTTAAACTCCAAGAAAACTTCGTGGGCAAGCTCAACGCTTCTCTCCTTCACCAATGCACCCATCAGAGCGTTCAGAGACAAGACATCTTTGCTCACTCCAAATCGCTCGATTCCTCGAAATGCATCGATTGCCTCCTTGTACCTACCAGCCCTAGCAAGCCTCCTCATCACCTTACTCATCGTATCCAAACTAACATACCTTTCTCCAATTTGGTCCATTTCTACGACCAAATCCCACATAATGTCAAACTTCTCGGCCTTCCCCAAGATGTCAACCATAAAATTGTACACCTCCGGCGCATGCCTATAACTTGTTTGCGTTTTTGCCCAAGTGAAAAACCCGAAAGCCGGAACCCATTCATTGCTAAACCTCCTCAAAACCCGTTCCACCAAACCGTTTGACAAATCCAAAACAATCCCACTTAGAACTTGAGCTACATTTTCCGGTGACGGGTGCTGGTTTTTCAAAACTTTACTAATTATGTCTATGTCGGTATCCGCAATCTCAACAACCGGGAGCTTGACGGCTTTTCTGGGGTCTTTGAGCATCGGGGCTTCAACCCACTTGGCAAGTGAAGGGATGACAAAATCTTCGTCTGAACTTGCGGCTTCTGGGTGCGTGATGTCCAAGAATTTAACCCAGTTCGGAAGGTCAGGTGACTCGGGGACTTGGGTCGGCTCGGTTGTGGTGCATAAGTGATTGGATAAGAAGTAATGCAAGAGTTTGAAGTGGGTTTTGGAAATGGAGTAGAGATTGGGGTTTTGGAAGCTTCGAAGCATTTTGAGGGAGGCGCCAGTGATTGGTAGGTGAGATTCGAATATGGAGAGGGATGGCTTAAAGCGGAAACTGAACCGTCCCGAAGGAATTTTAATTTTAACAAGAGCCTTGCTTCATATGCCACTTTGTGGCACCATTCATCTTGAGAATTGATATCCGGATTTCACCTGGAGAATGAAAAACACCTCAAAATTAATTTTAAATATTTTTAATTTTCTCCAATATCTTAACACAACTATTTCACCAAACAATATTGTATGAGATCATATCATTTTCTTCTTATTCTTCCTTGTTTCGTAACGAACAATATATCAAAAAGTCACACAATCTTTTTAGCCAAAAAAAAAAAAATCACATAATTGTTGCTTACCTCCATACAATTCACATCTCTCAGTTCTCTGGCTCATAATGTTATAGCATACATACTATTCTTCTTCTTTGTCATAAAATGCCAAAAACAGTCTCATTTATCAATCAACACTTACATGAACAACAACATGCCAACAAAAAATTGACTTGAAAAAACCCCGTTGTCATATGTTTTATGATGTGCTCAAAATAAATGGTTAGATTGGCCCAAGTGTTACGTTTTTCATGTATAGATTGATAATGTTTGAGGCGGTGTCACTCTTCTTGTATATACCAAATAAACAACCAAAATCAACAAAAACCCAGAAAAGCAGCTCACAAATGTAATTATATGAATGCAAGAGAACTCGGCATCTTACTTGATCAGACTTGTGTCTATGATCCTGATGAACTCTTTACAATACAAAAAAATCACTCTTTTTTCTTTATATATAACTCAGGCCAGGAAACACTAAAACACAACCCCTAAATCCAACTGAATCAGATGTAAAACAAATTCGAATATAATTTTCTAAATTCAGAATAAAAAGAATCTATTTGTTTGGAGCAGATGAAATTGCAATCCTCAGGCGAAATTTCTAACGATTAAATTGGATTAGACAAAATCATGAAATTTTTTCAAAAGCCGAATTATATTAAATCACAAATTTGAAGCCGATTTTGACATGCAATAGGTTAATAAGGTAGGAATCGTTTTCGACTAACCTTGATGGCGTGTGTCGGAGGAATCATCCAATTACCGTCGGAAAGCTTGAATCCGAACAAAGCTCCTAGGCTATAGGGAGATGTTGTTGATGTGAAATCCCAACATGCAAAGGTTGAAGGAGAGGAACTTCAACTTGAAAGATCTGCACCAGAGTGGCTGCTTGGTGAGGAGAAGTCACACAAGATTTTTAATTGGAAAACAAGACGACGGCCAGGCAGGAAGAAATCAGGAGGAAATAGATGAGTGCAGGGCATTTTTGTCCATGTAAAAACGTAATAATGCAAACTTAGCAGGGGTAGTAAAAACGCCCGCACTCCACTGCGGGGAATGCCACAAGTATAATCTTATACAATCTAATTGTTTTTGTTATTCCTAGTTCACAGCAACAAAAGGGTAATTTCACATTCTCCATAATTATACTTAATGCCAATATTCATAGCTAATATACTAAGTAACCACTAATTGACTGTTCACATCATCAATATCCCAATATGAATCTTATTAAAAGACGGTTCCCAAAACTCAATAACTCCAAGATTTGTTATTCCCCAAAACTCTCAAATGCATATATTCATATCCAAGCAAACCCAAAATTGGAAACTAAATTTGTACCGAAAAACATTCAAAACTAAATTACATTCACAATGTCAACCGAAATCAGTAAAGAAGAGCAATATTAGCAAACATCGAGTACTACCTCAGAAGGAATCCCGTTTTAGATAGTGTTCTGCTTGTTTATGAATCCTATAATGGCTACACAGATGCCATCCACAGTCTCCAGAGTGAAAATATCGAATCTTTTACTTATTGGTGCAGACGAAAACCCTCTCCTAGCTTCATGCCTGAAATTCAACATAACAATTAACAATAATTCCTACAAAAACAGAATTATAAAAAATAAGAACTCAAAATGATTAAATTACAGAAATTAACAATCACGTCGGAAAACTTGAACCCTCCCGCAGTCAGTCCTTGGTTGATACCCAGGTTCTGGTTCACAACTACATTTATTAATATTCACATAATCATGAGACACGATTAGATTATTAGGTTCACAACTAAATTAAAAAACATTCACATAATCACGAGACATCATTCCAACTCATTTCATAAACCCAAAAGAAAATCTAAAATGAAACTATGATTTCCACCACAAAGAAGTTGGAATTCTCTACTGTCACCTGTTTTCCCTGCCCAGAAATTGGAAGAATCCAATCTTGGGCCCATATTCTCACACTAAATAGCAAAAAAAATTCTAAAGTTTTAAGAAATTGGGAGCCAAAATTCCGTAATTAACCAAAACAAAGAAATATAACTAAAACCCAGATTTGAAATCATACAAATAAACATATATGCCACTCGCCATTTCAGTGGCGTCTGGTTCTGTAAGGTTATTTATTTGACTGCTGCAGGGTATACGAAACCAAGCGTAAAATAAATGGAGCATGTTCAGAAAATAACCCAGATGAAAACCCAAAAAATCAGAAGAAAGAAACCCAAAAAAAAAAAAAATACACGTTCCTACATTTCTTGTTGAGGTTTTATCAGAAATTTGTAAATCAAAATTAAATTCCAATCCAAACTCAAATTCCAAAAACATCAGAGCATACATATTTAATAACCCAAAAATTTAATGAAACCAAACCTATTTCAATTCCAATATAATCCAGAACACCAAATTCGCTTACCTTCAGCCAAGCGGGTTTTGGAAAACGTAGCGGAGACCGGTGGTGCAGGAAGATTCACACGTTTGTTGTGGCGTCCTTCGTCGGATTTGGGTGAAGAGGTGGCAGTGGTGGCGGTGGACTGGGTGAACTGGTGGAGGAGCAAGCGGTGGTTTTGTCGTTCAGAGTGCTTGAAAGCGTTGAAAAGAGTTGAGAGAGGAGGAAAGCACGCGTAAGAAGGCAACGACAGTGCACAATTATATAAAAGCGAGCGTTAGAAAGAGTTCAAAAAAAAAAAAAATAATAATAATAATAAAAATAATTTCAAAATTTTAAATTTAAACAATAACAATAAAATATAAAATAAAGTAAATAATAACATGAAAGCAAACTGTACTTGAAATTTTTCGTTAAAACCTCTTTTAAAAAAATTGAAAGTCGTTTCCTTTAAGTGTCTGCCCATACATATATTAGGGTCGGGGCGGGGCGGGGCGGCCCAGATGCTGATTAAGCATACGGACGGGTCAGAGATGGAGCCGAAAGTGGAACCCTCTCTCTCCTCAGTCCCCTCTGCGGTACTTTTGTATTGCTAATTAGACCGAATTCGTAAAACTGACTGAAAACAGTTGACATCACCACAAAAATCCGTTTCTGCTTTGCTGTTTGGAGGTCAGTCCCCCGCTGCGCGCTCTCTGTCTCTCTCCCTCTCTCTCACCCCTCCTCTGAGAAAATTCACTTACTTGTTCATTCGGTCTTCGAATTTGACCAAAAAGAAAACTGATTTTTTTTGTTCTTTCTTTAATTAAGAAAATTGGGTGATTCAGTTCTCCATTTTTGGAAAATTTTGAAGAATCAGGTGTTTGTGGAGAATGTGTGAGTTAATTTTTGAACTTTTTTAAAATACCATATAATCGCAAACTAATTAGGCAAATGGGTCGCTGAAATTCACTGCAAAAATGCTCCGCAGAATTGTTAATTCTAACAAAATTGATAGAACCAAGTGGAAATTTGTAAGACCCATTTGCAGGAAGGAAATGGGTGCTATGTAGAAATTGAAAGGATAGAAAATTGATTGTTCATGATTTTGGTAGTCCAGATTAGATCAGCTTTAGAGACTGCCAGTTTATTGCCTGCCTTTTATCCATAATTCATGTCCTAATTTATCTGTTTAGGTTTTAGTTCTTGCCTTTGGGAATTGGGAATAGGAAATTTGTTGGGACAGTTGTTACCCCGTGGGCAGCCATTATTTTGAATTTAGCAGCAGGTATTATTATGCATCTAGTTTCATCGGGACGCCATTGTTTTTTACTCTTTGTATTTGAAGATTAGCGAAAAAAACCCGATGATATTGATAGTTCTCTCTGCAAACCTTCCGTGTAGCTTATTTATCGAAATGATGCTTCATGGTGGTGGGTGGTGTGTGCTGCAGAAATTAACTGATGGTTATTTTATTTCAGTAGCTCTTTAGTTTTGTAATCCATGAGAATGCTGAGTGAGTGATGTTGTATGCAGGTTTACAGTCCAGATACTATGAAGAGGGCAGCTCCCTAGGATTAGCAGGTGGATGTTATTTCATCAGATGACTCTTCTTCCCCGGACACAGAGATGGAATCTGTTAATGAGTGCGATAGGAAGCAGTCAGACGGTAACATCACATTTGATCAACCTGTCAGAGAAATAACACCGGAAGGTATGTGCAGTCAAGCTATTGGAGCCTTGTTTTGCTGAAACTGGTGAACCGATCTACGCTGAAATCGTATGCACTATCATTTAAGATTTATTGCTACATTTTTTCTAACCATAAAGAAGTATGAAGTCCAGTCGAAAGTGCTAGCACTTTAAACATGCTCTCAAAATATCTTAAATTCAAGTTTCGAGGAAGTTAAGATCATAGATGCTTATTATCAACCTTGTATAGCTGGAACATTATGCACCCGTATCATGTGAATCCAGTGCTCTGACATCTATTGTTATCGTCTTAACCTGTTTGAAATTGTAGGTGCTTTGATGCGAAGGGCAGAGATGTATCAGGACTACATGAAGCAGATCCCGATCCCATCAAACCGTGGCTGTGTTATTCCATTTACCTCATGGGCGGGTTTCGGCAAGTCCATTAAGCAGTTGTATGGACAACCTTTGCATTACCTCACCAATCTTCTCCTCAAACAGTGGGACCAGTTGAGGATTGGCAGTGAGGATGAATACAGGCCCTTGGATACCATCATTCATCCGCGTAAGGCTGAAGCCACCATCTGGCTCGTTGAAGAAGTCCACCGGCACACCTCATCTCATCATCATGTAGCAAATCTCTGGTTCTTAGATCCGATGCACCATGCCTCCATTGACGCCATCTTTCCCCTGTTACGAAGCAAATCGTGAAAGGCATTTAGGACTGTTTTATGATGCTTGAATTTTGTCATGTAAAATACTGTTAAATTTTGTAGGTTTGGTCTCTTTTCTGTATCGTGATGAAATAAAAGCTTTGTTTTTGTTGACTCTAAAAATTACAAAACCTACATGGCGCGCAGGCCGAATAACTAATAAGCTAACTACGTCATTCGGTTGAATGCGGGGCGTGCCAACTCATCGGCCGAGGAGTAAAATTCGTTGATGTCGCGTTGAGCGCATTGTTGATTTCTTTATCTTGCGACTGCGACCGAGGAAGGAACAATCTCGGTCTTTGGGTTCTAGAGCCTGAAAACAAGGCTGCTAGTTCTGCGAAGTTCACAAATCGTCGACGCCCGATTCGGTCACTGTAATTATATTCGTAAGAGTATAAGCACATCAAATCGACACCAGACTATACAGACACAAGTATTTAAAGGTGATGTATGTCTTGATGGTGAATGTAGTTCGGCTGTCAGAATGCCGAACTCTAAAACTCACTTGTGAGTATCCAATCATAAAATCACTCGGCGTCCAGTACGCCGAATGACGTAACTCGTAACACCTCACTTCGTCGAGAGGGCTAATAAGGTGACCTCTGCCAACAAGGATTCGAAAACCCTTCTTGGCCGAGACTTGGATAGGTAATCAGTCGACCTCAACGCAGTGCTGTTTATCCAAACTGAAGGTGCTTCTTGGTCGACTGATTCTACAGCAATAGTGCTGTTTATCCAAACTGAAGGTGTTCGCCGGTTGCCTCCACAGTGATGTTTATCCAAACTGAAGGTGTGTCGGTTGGAGAAAAGAAAACAAAAATCTCAAGATGTTGAGAGGTTTTGCACAGGGCAATTGTGTGTTGAATTGAAGGTCCTTAATTGTTGCATGACTTCTTGTATTTATAGCACCAGCTCCTTGAGATTGAATTAAACCTCTATCTAGATTGGGAGTCATTGCCCCGTTCCAGCTTTACTTCAAACAACCCTACTCCCATTAGGACTTTGAACTCACCCCCCTTCGGGGCTTTATTCATTGCTGGTCGAGAATTCTAATTGTACCAGGACTTCCTCGACCCTCTTTGTTTATCTGGATTACTCCTTCTTGCAATAGGACTCGACCATCCCTGCTAAATGGCCTGGGATCATCAGGCGGCCCATATTATTTTGACATAGCTTTGGGCCGAGCACAAACCTACACTCGGCCCAACAATATTATTTTGGGCCCAAACATTACCCATTCGCTTTTGAGGTCATCGACTGCCAACCTTTGGTCAGATTTCGACCTTGAAGAAGCGGAAACATCTTTTTTTTTTTTTTTAGACTTAACTGTTCTTCATAACCATTAACATGCACATTTATAGGATATGATTGCACTATCCTCGTTACTCCCGACGTACAGTCACGTGTCGACTCTCTGCTAATCTTAACAACTTTCAATCATGGCCCTCGAAAACGTACACCCGTCGAAGCGTCTCTTCCTCATTAATGCATTAAAACCGCTGCCACACGCAATCGTGCGTCCCAAATCCTTGAAAACCTCGATCCTATCCTTGAAGATTCCCAAAATATTCGAAATGATTGGCCATTTCCCGGTTAATTTTCCCCCAAATTCAAACTAGTGCTTTCGAATACCAAACACTTGATCTTATTTCTGAAACGCCTATAAATACCTAAACTCCCTTCATTTGTACTCCCGTTTCCAGAAACCTTCACAAACTCTCTCAACCATTTTGCTTTCTATGTCCCAGAAAACAAATTCCTGCTCCCGAAATCCTCTCCAAGCATTTTCCAAATTTCAAGATGAGTCCCAATACCTTCATTTCCAAGCTTAGTAACGAATGTAGCAAATGCAAGAGCTTCATTGATCGGAACGCCATCAAAACTCTGCGTTTCAAATGTGACCTGAGCACTACCCACCAAATCCTAGGGCCGCTCTTCAAGGATGCGGTTCCTTCATCAATCACTACTCTTTTCAAGGCTCACTGCCTGACACCCTTGATGCAAGGGTTCGACTGGTCCAAATGGGACCTATCGAGGCCCCAAGGTGCCTGGCCCACGACCAACGCCAACTGGGTGACTTAGGTCATCCGAATGGAAAACTTATTTCGCTAAGAGTGGAAGGCCCTTGATATCTATAATGCCCTCAAGCTCTCTACCATGTAGCTAACCATGGATAAGGAACTCCTCATGGCAGCGTTGAGTTTTTGGTGCTCGACCACCAACACTATGGTCCTTCCTTTTGACCCTTTCGGCCCCACTATCCTTGACGTATTGGCTACTCTCGGGACTTCTCCATCTGGGATCCCGATAGATGCGGCTCTCTTTGGGAACCCGTCGAATCTCGATCTTAAGGCGCTCTTCGAAGATCGAGCTGTCGAGACACTGAAACGAGATGGCCGAGAGCCTTCGAAAGAAGAAGTTCAGAAGTTACACAAAAACTTCTTCAACTACAACACCCTTATCCTCCACTTTGCTGCTCAAGGTGAGGAGAGTCTTAGGAAGGGAGAACATGAAGCCTTCCTATTCTACTGGTACAACAAATTCATTTTTTGTACCCAGTCGAACAAATGCTTAGTCGAGAACATGCCAGTGGTCGAGGCCCTGGCTAGTGGTCACACCCTAGCACTTAGCTCGGCCGTTCTCGCCAACTTTTTCCACTGCCTGGCCGAAGCGACCATTGGAAAAATCGACCCAAACCAGAACGATCCCCTCTGGGTCTTCCAACTCTGGCTACAGGTTTATTTGACCACCCTTCAGCCGGATGTCGCTGCCTTCCAACCCACTACTTCGCTCGGCCTTCAACTAGCATCTCGGCCGCCATCTCCTCACTAGGCCGAAGAAGTCTTCAAATACCTCTTCGG